GAGAGTAATCCAACCTTGATGGCAAACGGCGCGGACGAAAATTGAGCGATCCGCCAGTCAGTCGGTCAGCTCATCGGCGTGATCGAATTACAGGAGTTGAAACTCCCTCGAGCCCCTCTCCTCTTCCCTGCATCCGTTTCTACACTTCTCGCTCTTTCGCGCTTGTTTTCGACAACGTTCGGTCCGGAGGTTGCCCCCACCCCCCTCTCCCTTTCCACCTTCGCATCGCCAAGATCCTGCTACGAAAACTATACGCATTACACAAAGAGGACTTACTTTCCACCTGGGCAGGCTTTTCAGCGGAACCGGCAGCAAAAATTTCCCTGCTGCCCGCCCGCCGGACTTCGGGAAACGTGCGTTCCGTGCGCGTCTCATTGTTTTGGCGGCTTTACCTGTTTCGGGGTGCGCTTGCAATCCGTGGGGAGGAGAGGGGGGGGGGGCAAACAGAGCACGCAGAGCCGAGCGCGGGCCATGCCAAAAGCAGCCCCGTCCCTGCCAAAACGAGTCTTCCATAGAAGTGCGAATTAGGTCGCTACCTGCCTATGGGGTCCGCCCGCCCGCCCGGCCTCAAGACGAGGTCCGCCCTGGGGGCTGCTCGCCGCCTATAGCCGGGCGAGGCTAACATGCGCTCGGCGAGCTGGCGACCACGTGCCCCAAACGTGCCCCAAAAGCACGATCACGGCACGGCCACGCGGGGCAGGGGGGGGGGGGCATTGCAAGCACCATTTCGGGCGAAAGGGCAGGCAAAAATATGCGGGAAGGATAGTTACATTGAAATGATTTAGGTGGCCAATAAGAGTTGTCTCGAAGCAGACGAGTAGGAAAGAAGAACAAGAATATCGCAAGTAATGAGAAATTGTGGCGTTGACCAATCGGCGATGAGCGCCGCTGTTTCCTCATTGGCACTGATTAGTTAACGGCTCAATTTCACGTACTAGTTTCTGGGTCCTCTTGCTATTCTTCCCTAATCATCTACTTCCAGATAAGTCCTCTATATATTCTTTCGAGGTTGAAAATAAAAACAAACAACGGCAACTTACACTAATTTTAGTGTGCTCTTTCACGGTTTTATCCCGAAATTATCTACATATTCAGGGTCGGGCGCGGCCGCCGGTCCCCGCCGGGGACAAGAGCACCGTCCGGCCCCGTCGAACAATAAATCGCGAAACACAAAAAGCGGCGCAGAGCAGCCTCCACAAACGACCCAAGGAATTTGGCGACAGAATAAGAAGTCTTCCTTTACTTTTCCTCGTCGAGTCGAGAGATCAGTCTCGATACAAATCAGTCCGACCCGTTTCGTCCTCGCCACACACGCACACACACACTCACAGTGGCGCTGCCGCGCGGCGCGTCGTTCGCCTCGGCGTCGACGCCCTTTCCGTTTCCGATCCTGCATTATCATTGGCTGACAGCTCCCCCCCCCGAGCCCACTCGGCGTGGGGACTTGAGTTCTGTCCTCGTCGCACAGCCAGACGCGCCCGCGTGCCGGAGAGAGGGAGAGAGAGGGAGAGAGAGAGAGAGAGAGAAGGGGGGGGGG